TTGTAATTTTGTTCAAGCAGTCACTGAACCATGAAAATGAGGTCAATGACAATGGACATATGACAGACGGAAACTACGTAACATAAGGTATCCACACACAAAGCATGAAGAATCAATGTCTTCTACCTTCTGAAATATAAAAGCGTTAACCAAAAAGTCTACTGCTGCCAGATTGTAGTACATACGTCTCGCATACTGCAACTTCCGTCGCAGGCGAGACAGAAATCATACATCTAAGACTATGCATGGACAAGACCCTCCTGAAACCATGAGGTCAAAGTCACAAGCAGGCGAGACAAAACTCATTTTAACAGAATTAGGCTGTAGTAACAATGAAATGTACCAGTTGGAAGAACATATGCCTCTTAAAAACTTCCTGGTCTATCATGGATTGTTATGGAGAAACAACCATAACCTTCTAATGAACAATGAAAGAGGTCATGGTAATGTCACACCAACTGATGGACAGATACTACATTCAAGCAAGATTATGGTGCAATTTCCTGACAAAAACATACTCCATTTACAGCAAACTCATAACCTTAATAAAGAAAGGTTTTCAATTTATTGAGAAATAAACCTTCCTTTAACAAGAGAGCACATGCTGAAATGGATCGCTTGCTTTACTGTACATATCGAACGTTTTCAGATGAAGGTTTTACGTGTATCTCATAATCTTAACATTATCAAAGATCCCTGTAATTGAGATCAAAGTCGGATGAATCCTGCCAGACATAAATCTTTCAATATACCAAATACAGTTGACACATTGCTTATTGTATCTGATAAACAGACCTAACCACGAATACTTAGCATCGAGCAATGTACCATAAAAATGAGGTAAGATCAGTTGAACCCGTCAGACCCAACCACAAATACTTTGCATCGACCACTGTACCATGAAAATGAGGTCAAGGTCAGATGAACCCTGACAGACAGATATAAACACTTTACAATCATTCCTTACCCCAAATTTAGGTGAATTTTTGCTTATGGTATCGGAGATATGGACCAAAACCTAACTTTGATCACTGATCCATTTAACGAGGTCAAGTGAGGTGAACATGGTCTGGCAGACATGCAAACCTTGCAAAGATCCAATACACAAAATATAGTTACTAGTAGTTATCCAATTACTCATAAGCGAGAATCCATGCAATACAATAAAATATTGACACAAAGAGATGTCTCACCTGTATGCAATTTCGCTTAACCATGACTGAAGGTTTGTGGTCAAATCTCTGTCGAATTGAGATGTGCCAAAAATGCTTACACAATCGCATACCAAATATCACGGACTTATCATAACTGGTTCCCCTTAAACTGACCTCATCAAACTTTACATGTAGACTATACTAAAGTTCCCAAGTCAGTGATCTCTATGAAATGAGCTGTGGTAATGCTAATTCAATTGCATACCAAATACCATTAGTGGTTCATCTCAACTCACCTTATAACAAACATTTAAACTAAGCTAAAGTTTCAGACAATGACTTAGGGGACAAGGTAAAATAATCTCCATGGATGAGAGATGTGGTAGTGCTTATACAATTGCATACCAAATATCACAATGGTGGTTCATCTTAAACTGACCCAATCACTTAACCATTCAAATTAAGCAAGTTTCAAAATCGATTGACCATGTCTTATGGAAAGGGACAAAACAATTTCCATTGAAGTATGCAACTGCAGTTCAAATATCACCGACTTACCATTGGTGGTTCCCCTTAAAATATCCTAATCACAAACTATGCAAAAGTTTCAAAGTCAATAGACCAATACAAAGGGGATGAGACCAAACAATCTAAATGAAAATGAGATGTGCAAATGCTAATAAACCGCAAACCAAATTCATAAACTTTTCTTTACTTGTTTATCTTAAACTGACCTAATCACAAACATTTAGTTATAACAAAAGTTTCAGTCGATATACCATGACGGATGGGACAGGGCCAAATAATCTTCATTGATATGAGATGAAATGATCACTCATACAACTTAATACCAAATATCATTGAATTACCATAAGCAGTTCCATTTAAACTAATCAAATCACAAACTTTACCAAATGTCAATGCTGCATACAACAACAGCACACGTCTTGCCTCACGACTGTCTAGGGGAGACAAAAACTATAGTTTTCTTAGCAGTGGCTATACCATGCAAATGATGTAAAGGACAATGGGACAGACATAAACATCAGATCATAAGGCATCTGTATTACAAGGTATGAAGTATGAAGGTCTATCTTCAAAAATATAAAGCTTTGTAACAAAGTTGATGCCGCAGCTGACAGTGGATAAGCAACCACATGTCTCATAATTCTGCAAGTGAGACTAACATTGCTTACGTTATGCAAAACTAATCAGTGATTAGATATCCTCATCAGCAATTCTCAAACCGAATCCAAAACAATTTATAGGAACCACTTGTGTGTCAATATTTAGGTTATGAACACATTGTAACTGTCCAAAGATCATTTCAAATATTGTAAAGAGGTCAATTTTCCCCCAACTTTAAGGGCAAAACCTGATGGCAAGGTGCATTTTCACGCTTTTCCTGTCCTTGTTTCTGTTTTCCTTAAGAGATCATATGTACATTGAGGATGAATTTTTAGTGATTTCATTTGAATCGCAAAATATTTCCATTACGAAAATTTCAGACTTACCGTTATCTGACCACTGGAACATGACCGAGGTTAGACATCAATGAAAGATAACCAAATTCACAGAATTGCAAAATTTTGATGACTTAGATGGATGAACTGATCAAATATATGCAATTATTGCTGTTATCTTTGCTGTTACAGAACAACTTTTATTCATGTCTCACTTCTGAAACATTTATAGCAGGGCAAATCAAAAATATCTGTGTTTTGTTTTTTTAATGTCGTAATTACTTTTTAGAAGTTGTTTCTTAGTCTTGTTAGGAGGAGTAGATTGTTTTAAATGTTGGTGGAATCTTCACATAAAATGCATCCCCTTTCAGTTTTATGTTTTAAGCATTGAGGTTTTTCTATGACTGTCTTCTCAATGCTTATAATATTTTTTAAAGATTCACATGTTAGGTACCTGGTATGTTTGATTTGTTTTTTTCAGTCAGTTGAATATTTGGAGGCCGCCAAACAAAATTGACAACATGATGCAGTTAAAAAAAGCCATCACCACTGGAGCATGAAACCATGCAAACAGACCATGCTCACACTGCTATGGAACATGCCATTCTAGATAAAGCTCCACAAACTTATGCTGAAAAGTGCATTTATATATTACTGTACCTCTTCATGTCTATCATTAGCTTATCTTTGATCTTAAGTTGGATAATATGTATATCAACAAATTAAAAGGTCAAATTTCAAATAATTAATTTTAGAGGACTTTTTAAATGCGTCATATCTTGCCATGAAAGAAACAATTATTTTTTATCATTCGTACCTACATAATAAAAATTTTAATCAATAACTTTAAATCTTTTGGATCTAAAATGAAGATTTTTCTTTACTTCTTGATATTACAAGACTGGGTCAATTTATAGAAATACTAGGCAGGGGAAGTTAAGAACTGGTTTCCGATTTCAAAACACATTTGTTCCATCAACTTTATACAGTATCATTTTATGCAATTAAAAACTATTCCTATGTCAATTGCGCACCCAAAGTTTCCAGTAGTATTTGTGAATTACTTCTATATAATTAAGAGGGGAGCTGGTATGAAATCCATGTATTCTAATGTATGGTGCTTTCATCTATTTAAAACAGATGGAAAAAAAAAAAGAATCTTCTGACTTAAAAATGAATGCATCCAAAAATATCTACTTGCAAATCATAAGATTGACTTTTTTTATTATTTAACAGGACTTGAGATTGTTTATTTTTATTGTCAAACAAGACTTGCCCTGAAATTTCAGTATATTTTAATCTAGATCTTAATTAATCATGTAGATTTTTTTGACTACACATTAAAGTAAGCAAATTGAAAAATACTGTTTACCTAAGCCAAACTGCTTGGTGTTACTCTTGTATAAATCACTTGAATTTTTGTAAAACTTCAAGGAAAACTTAAAGAATATATATATTTTTTTAAAGTTTATATGTAATGATTAAATTCATTTTTATAAAATGAGAATTGTCCAGAAATACTAAAACATTAATTATTTCTCTTGGTGAAATGAAAACCTACAAAACTTCACTTTTGCTTGATTCCTAAATCGTTAATTATATTTGTTTGTTTCAACTACAATTCCAAAAGATTTTCATTATCTGATATATCTATTTTTATTTCCAATTTAGTTGTAGATTTGCAATATTAAACTTGAGTGTATTATAATCTAGAGGTTACAAATATAATTATTTATCCATTTGTTATAATTTTCTTGTTATTTTCTCTAATCAATCCTACAACATTGACACTAAGAGGTACTAATATATACATAAACACACATGCAACAGCAAAAGAAAGAATTCCAATATAAGCAGAGTTACTTTATCTAGAACAGCATTGTTCATTATAGCAGATTATAAATGGGAGTACTGCAAGGGGAGTTATTAAATGCATGCATCATTAATTCAATCTGATATAAACAGATTTCTCTTGTCAGTTTACTACAATAAAGATAAAATGCAAGATTGGTCTACTATTTTATGGTTCTTCAACTTAAATGTTTTGTTAAGCTAATTTTGTTAAACTTGATGACCTAGAATTCAAAGCAATGTACCAATGTACCATTTTTCCAAATTTTTAGGGGTAGTTGATGTTTCAAATGAAATATGGTCTAAATATGAAAAATAAAAGATTAGAGATCTTGACAATGAAATGAAGTCTACTTTTCTTTTTACATGAAAGTATTGACGAAATCATACATCTGTATGTGTTTTAATGCATAAGTACAAGTTCCAAAATGTATTTTTCCAAACACACGTAAATAAAGATTTTGTAAGTCTAAAGAACCATAACTCTATGATGACCGTAAGTCCATGCATTAGCAATGAGAATGCAGTGAGATAAATACACATAATGACAGTTTATTTGCATCTGGAAAAAAATCAAGGTCACACACAATGTTGTTAGACACAAAAACTGTTCAAAAGGTGGCAAAGAGGTTAAATATATATGTATATACATATACAGAATATCCATAGTGCACGAAAGAAGCTCTAAATCATATCTGTATTACAATATATAAGTGTGTGGATCAATTAACTTGAAGCTTGTGTGTACTATAATATCAATATTAACAAAATGCAAGAAAAAATGCCCTCAATATTATTCCTGTATGTATTCCATTCATGCAGGGCTCTGAGGCAACTCCACTCATTATATCAAGATTTGTCAATATTAATTTCTTTCATCAAGAAACGCTTACTGTAAAAATTTTGAAACGAAAAAAAAAAAAATTGGAAAATTATTTGTTCTTAAAATTCCATCAAACTGGTTAAATGTGTGAAGTACTCAAATCATATTTATACTTTACAAGCAAATTTATTGTCATTTTCTTTAACTTCCTTTAGCCATTAATTTTTTTTGTTGAAAACTAACTAGTTAACTAATACATTAAATATCATATACAAGTAAACTAAAAGCTATAACTTATTGCATTTATAAAATTTAATGAGTGTATTTCAAATTTCAAAATCACCTGGAAATTTATCAACTAAAAAGATAATGCTGACTTGTTGTGACTTCCATTTCTTGATAAAAAGAATTCAACACTCTTGATATAAGTTACACTGTGTATAAAAATACAATTGACAGTTCAAATATTTGATTACAGCTCATCATGCGTAGTTGTATTTCTTACTAGTAATCTCCCCTTAAGCCTACAAGTTTTTCTATTGATGGCAATTTATTGGCAGATGTGCTTGTATTTTATCAAGCTCAAAGGAACAAATCTAATCAATTATAGATAGTTTATTGATGGTGTTTAATGCCACTTTCTACTTTCAGCACACTTAGCTATATCATATATTGTGGAGGAAGCCAAGAGTACCAAGGGAAAACCGCAGACCTTCAGTGGGAAAACTAATTACAGATGATATACAAAAGTGTTGAATCATACTGTTGGAACACTTAATCCGATTTTGAACTCTCAATAGCATTTTTAAACATAGTGTAAAAAGTTAGTCAATTTCTTATATTACATAAACATCAATCATCAATAAATACTACATATATAAACTAAACAATAAACTGATAAATTTACACAAAAAAGACACAAAATGAATTTCAAATACAAGAGAGAAAACACACATGTCCTATAAAGAAAGTTATATAAAGAAGTAAACATACAATGGAAAATAAAGTGTTGGAATGTTACATCTAAATTCTGGTTATTTCATAGCTACAGAGAATAACTATCTCACGTCTAAATATGCGAAGGTTAAGTTAAAAAGATTTCATGCCAGAGAAAGATCAGTTCTCAGGTATAGGGATAGAAGCACAATCATACATTCATAATAACATGCTTATTAAATCTCACTGTAATCATTCCTTTATTCATGCTCAATCCCATCATGCCCCTGGACATGCCTGTAAGTACACAGGGGGCAGCAGCATCGGTTGTCTGCTGCCACAACAAGACATCAATAAAGTTAATAAAAAGAGACAAAACGGATATTAGACTATTATGAAAGGACATGACAAAAATTAGGAAAAAAAAGCAACATACATTCACACAAAGTATATATATATATAATGAGGAGTTAATGAATTGGGGCTTGCTAACTAGCACTTATCTGTTTGTGAGGTGGCTACATATGTGTTTCTGTTTATTTACATTTTTTTGCATCTTTGGGATAAATTGCGTGTGAGGGAAGGGAAATGAACAACTCAAAAACATTTTTAATTATGTTAAAAATTTTGCTGTATTTTGACATTTGCAGATAATATTTTGATTATCAATAAAAATTTGAACAATACTTCCAAGAGTCAAATGACCTTGTTAAGTGTAGCTCTATAAACAACATATGTAAAAATAAATCCAACAACATTATGAAACTGGAAGTACATACAAGTAAAATATAAATCATCCCAAAAAACAAGAGATTGCATTTAAAAACAAATAATATCAGATCGAGGGAAGGCTGTAAAAAGACAAGAAATGCTGTTAAAGGAAGTACCTACAATTGCGTTCGTTTTAAACAAAATTTGTTTTCTATTTTGTAAATTCTTGAAAGCTACTAAATAAACAGGATATTTTAAAAGAGGAACCTATAAAATAAATAAGGATCTGTAGTAAGATAATTGCGTATTTAGACTGTATTGCACATTTCTTTTGTATTATGCCAAAAAAACAAAAAATTGCTAATTATCATTTTTAATATGACATGCAATGCTTTTTTCTAAATTAAAAGTCCATCATCCCTGAGTCTTTTATTTTTCCCTATAAAAAAGTTTTGGATTTTTTACTGAAGCCTGAGCAAAAAAATTGTGTAAAGTAACTTTAAACTGTTTTTGCATGGTCTGAAAATTTTTAAAAAATGCCTTAAGTTGTACTATTAAAGTGGTTCCTTTGTTATATTTTTATTATATATAGTCACCACGTAATTAAAACATTCCAAATAATTTTATTTATTTATATCTATTCACCATGTTATTATAGAACACCAAATAATCTTTTTATCTATTTATATTTAATGACAACCTGTTCTCCACATAATTGGAAAATACCAAATAATTCAAAATGTGGTAGAACTCTTAAATGTTGTTTTCATCAATGTAAAACTGTGAAGTAAGAATACTGAAACTGTCTGTTATGGACCCTTAGTAGCACTTCCTGAACCCTGGGGAGATTCATGAACTATGACACAAAAAAATCAATAACCAATAATATAAGGGCAAGAGCATTTTGGCAAGTTCATTAACATGTTAAATATTAACTTTAAAGTGAACAATTTTTTAAATTATGATTTTTCAACATTTGAACGATTAAGAGACTAGCTTTCACTTTATAATACTCAGACATCACAGATTAACAAACCATTTATACATATACATCTCAGAACATTTATTCATCATACAAACTCACAAAGAAAAAATCTCATTCTCTCATTGGAAGAATTAATGAATTTAATTTCAACAAAATGAAGTATGACTTCTACCTCCTCAGTACTTTGAGAATTCTTCCAAACCCACATTTCAAACATTATAATATACCTTTTCATAAAGGTACAGTATATCTAAACAAAAAAAGTTATAATGAAAAATAGAACAACATAAAAAAATAAATTGCACAATAAATATGGTAAAATAAAGCACCTATATGACCTAGATCAGATCAAATCTACCAGTGACTTTTGAAAACAAACTGTCAACAAAGTGTGAAATGTGATGTTCTTGTTAACCAAATATAAGCAGCTATAAAACAATATGATTTATTTTCATACTTTGCTTTGAATCAAAATAGATTCATATCATAATGAAAGGTTTTCAAACTACAACAAAATTTTATCATTTTTAAAGAATCCATCATTTTAATTCAATTAATTCCATATCCAATAATTTCTCTATTCAAAATTTCAAATTGATTTTTCAAGTTTTAAAAAAAATATTCTAGCTTGTAAATTGAATATAAGACACATCACAGACTTCACAGTAAGCTGACAAAGACTAGGTGACTAATTATCAATATTTTATTGTAACCATCATTCGACCTGAACAACACCATGATGGAAGACAAATCTGTTTCATTTGATACCTTGTGACAAAAGTCTTAAAATATGGCTAGCTCCTCCCTCAGCTGCCATCATTTCAATTCTCAGTAATTTCATTAAGCTTAAGGAAATGACAGCAAGCAATGAATATTCAGTGCACTCAATTGATCTAATCAACTACTAAAAATGAAAAGTAAGCAATCCAAGATGGGGGATTGGGGCATAAAAATGAGTTCCTATATTACTTACAATATGAATAATGTCCAAATGTTTCAACAGTGATAAAACTATCCTCTCGTGACTTTATGAATCATCACTGCCCTCAGTTGTTTTATCAATGGTTGTAGACTAGAATCAAAGGATACAGGCAGTTGTGAAATTACTGAGAATTGAAACACATCAATATAATTCATGGATGAGGTAACATTGTGAAAATTGACTAGACATTTGTTCAAAATAAAGCTCACCACATGAGTATTTTTATACAGTGTCATTATGACTCAAATATTAATTCTGTGGCATGGGTAGTATATTTTGCGATTCTATGTAAATAACTGGAAAACAATTAAGTTCAACAACTCCTTTTTTGGAGCCAAATTTTGAATTAGAAACTATAACATAAAAGTTACAAAAAATATAAAGTATCAAATGTATGCTTTCTAAAGAACAAAACAGTTCAAAAGCTGCGTAGTTTTACTGAATCATTAAATTGCGTAGGGTCTTCATTCAGCACATTATTATTTATTACACCACATTTGTACTTGGTAATTAATGTAGCTGTTGTTCTCAATTTCTCTGCATGTCCCGATATCTACACAGAATCACAAATACAAAATGGAAGGTGAAATATAACATTGGCAGCATATGAGAATCTCAACAGTGCTTCAAGTTTCTTCAATAAATAAGTTAAACAATTGCAGAAAGCACCAATTCAGCACTGAAATATTAGCATTGCACTTCTCTGTATAATGGCTGTCCATTAACAATACTGTAAAAATCACCACAGAATATCCTCTTCATATGACGAGCCTTATCAGTAAGGAGCAAATCGCTGGTATGCTCCTCGATACACTGTTGCCTAAAGAAGAAAAAAAAACATAACATGTATTATTATCCAAGTTAGTTGGAACAAATATTTTCATCTATTTGTTGGGTATCTTGCTTTTCTCTGGAGTTACTTCCCTTCCACTTCTACAAATGTTTAACAATGAAAAATAAAAATAGGATGCAGCTTTTGTGTATTTGGATAGAGTTACTAAACACCCTCAAACACTCAAGTTTAATGCCTTTAACTGTGTACAACTGGCTTAAAGTAATTTTGAATAGTTGCTATATTTTTTTTTATATGAAACTTTAAAAATATGTTCTGTTGTTAATTTGTCCTTACCCCATAACCTGCTACTGGTCCAATACTGTGTCCCAAATATGGATCTGCATATTCTCTGCCTGTCAATCTACAAATGCAAACATTTTATATTCAAATATCATTTAACAGTTGATCTACTAGAAACATATTTGACAAGAATATTTGTTTTAAGGGGGGGGGGGGGGGGCAACCAGCTTGTTCTAAGATGTCATCCATCCATCAATCAATATATATTTTTTTTCAAATATATAAACAATTTTTGTCCTGTTATATTGTTTTCCTATTTGAATTTGTCAGTCATGTACATAGGTCAGAACCAAATAATTCAACTTGTTATTGTTTTTAAAGTCTATCAGGCAGTACATTTTTTTTTAGAAAATGAGATTATTTTTTTAAATAGTGTAATTTGATGCAAGACTGAACATAAACAATCAACTCTTTTACAGGTACTAAGGCGTGTATATTTGCCTGCATATTCTAGTCCTTGCAAAAGTTACCCATAAAGGTCTTCAAAATATCGTTGTACAATCAAACAGTCAGACTTCTTTTCTTAGTATTTTTGTCCTTTAAATATCATAAAAAAAAATTTCTATGCATGTAGATTATATGCAATGGTCAGTGATTAACATTGAACAACAGTAACTATTCTCCATAAATGTAAGATTTCTATTATTAAAATAAATTACCCAGGTATTGAAGCTGCAGTATATGTATTTCCTCCTAACATTTGAGCTGTTGCCATTTGTGGGATAGCTATCCTTGCACCCATTGGGTAGGGCTGTGTAGATATTATCTGAAATGTAATACAAAATTATTTTAGAGTTTGTTGTTAGAGGTTATTTTTCATTTTAGAATCTGTTGTAAGAGGATAATTTTTCATTTTAGAATCTGTTGTAAGAGGATAATTTTTCATTTTAGAATCTGTTGTAAGAGGATAATTTTTCATTTTAGAATCTGTTGTAAGAGGATAATTTTTCATTTTAGAGTTTGTTGTAAGAGGATAATTTTTAATTTTAGAATTTGTTCCTGCTTTGTCACATTGAACTGAAAAAAAAATAAAGTTAGTAAATTAGACAGAATTTATCTTGTAAAACAATCAAGTCAATAACAGAATTGTGAACAGATATATCATGTTAAGGAGGGGTATTTGCGAAAAATACCAGTCCAGAGAATGTTAAATTTCGCGAGCCGTAATGCGAGGGAAATTCATTCTCAAGACTGGTATTTTTAGCAAATACCCCTCAAGAACATGCTATATCTGTTTAATTACACCGAATGTTAACGTTCAAAAACGCATTGATGATCGTGACGTTACAAGCGTCCAGCCGGATAGAGTATTTTTTGGCAAATACCACGGCAGAGAGGGTAAAAAAGGCATATCCTTTTTGCATATACCCCGGCGGCATTAAAAAATGAACGATATTCATTTGATAACAGTAAATTGGTGAAAAATTCACTGGCTATCAACCAATCAAAACCCAGGATTCTTACATAAGGTGTAATTATGATGTAAATAAGATTTTATTCAATAATCATTTGAACAATATAAAATAAATATTACTAATATCAAATAGATGTTCTTTAAACAATTCTGACCAGTTGTGTATTGTTAAATATGTCTGCAGTGCCAGTAAGACATTTGAAATCTATCCATGTTTTAGGGACTTGGTGACTAATGGAAAATATTTGTTAACATTTTTCTCAAGAAATATTTATTCATATCCTTTATGACAAGAGATGACTTAGTTTTTTTTCTAAATATTTTGATGGGGTTGTTGAAATCTAGAAAGATTGAGTGAAGATAAACACTAGCAATTTTGGCAAAGTAACCAAACTGAATCACAAAGATTATAAACATCTGTCTAAATTGATAAGATTGGGAAATTTGGTAATTATGGACAAAGAAGAGATAAAGTAACTCCATGATATATGAGTGGACTCACCTGGTACCCTCTTTCAGCTGCTTGTGCGTATGTGGCTGCCAAATATGGATCTTGAATAAGTCCTCTGGAATTTAAGATCAATTTACTGATTATTACTTTTCAAAAAGACCTACATCCATTTTTAATACATGACCATCTTATTTCATAAATAATATACTGGGTACTGTAAATTAAGTAACTAATTCATGCATCTATTATTGCAATTTCTGTTAAATGTACAAAAATGTTAGATTTATCAATTTTGCTTTCAGAAAATGCTGCCAACAGTTAATGCAATACTTATTTAAAACGTCAGTTCTTATTAATGCCGTAATTTTTGTAACAATTGAAAAATTGCACAAATTTCTAAAATAACAGTACTAGTATAAACATGATAAAAAATAATAGAAGGAAATAGATAGTAAAGTTTTAAAGGCAAAGAAAAAATTTAAGATACTGTGATTATGGAGGAATTCTTCAATTTAATAAAATTTTAGACACTGAATCTGAAGAATTTTTTTAAACAAAGATTGTGTGAATCTTTTTCTTAATCTATGGGATACAAATTGCCAAAAGCTTTCCTATTTTATCAAAAACTAATTGAGTATTTGGTGCCATGGTTGTTGTTATACTTACCCAGCAAAAGGTAATGCTGTGGCAGCTGTTGCTAATTGTTGTGGCCGCACGGCGGCAGCAGCAGCTAGTGCCGCAGCACTATAAACCCCTCGATTGGCTATTGCTGCTGCTGCAGCCCTCCCTCTCGTTAATGCTACTCCCCGGAGTGCAGCAGCTGAAATATTGTTAATTCACATAAAAACAGTGTGATGGAGAAACAAAATAAAGAGCATGCTAGTATTGGTATGTGCATTTCATGTGTAAAAGAAATACAATATGCAGTCTTGATGACATCTATGCAAGAAACTCTCTATTTAGATTCAGGCATTACACATTATCAATCACAATGCTGCAATTTGCAACATGTTGAAACATACCGATGCAACAATCAAAAGTTGATAAAAAATTAAAATAGTTTATATACTACAGACATCAAAACACGTAGTTAAATGGAAATGGTAGCAAGATCTACAGGGAATTTTTATTTGTAAGAAAATGAGGCACATATGGGATAAGTTCAAAAAGTCTCCTATATCAGTGCACAAAGACTACAAGAAACATACTGGAAGTTCGTCTCTGCCAAACACAAAGTTTGAACTTAAAGGGGTCATTCTTGATGCATTGCTTTTAAAGTTAGTGTATTTCTGCACGATGCAGACTGGGGGTATAAAATGCAAAATTTCACAAATAATTTGTGGATGCAGTTTTTAGAAATTGTTGATACCCTTCTTATTCCAGACATGCCTTGTTATTTGTTTCCATACATAATCGTACCCACATTAATATGAACATACCCATCCCATGCCGGCCTCCTCGACTTAACACAATGTACCAGCATTATAAATTCCAAGCTAAAATTACTCTCATAATGCAGCATGCAATTACAGCAACACTTTACAAGATAATAAATAAAAGAAATAAAATAATACTGCCCACATTCATACACATTATATTTTCATGAAAATGTCCCAATTTATTTTTGTAATATCTGTAACTGGCTGAAATTTTAATAAAATAAACCATTATCATTTGCTGAACTGCATACTGCTTGAGGATTTGAACCTTTGGGCCTTGACGACTACATTTGTTTTGTAATAATTTTCTTTTTACATTTCCCATAAAGTTTACCCATTTTCATCTTTAATAATTTATCTGATATTTTTTTTCTTTCACACAAACTCAATCAGATATATATTTTTGAAGTCAAGGCCCAAAGTATAACATACTATATTTAGGGTATCTTACCATTTGGGATTGTGGGTGCAGCAACTGATTTTTTGGTCAAGACTCGGGCAGTGGCATTGTTAACCTAATTCATAAAATGGCAACACTTTAGAAAGCAGGTTGGATTATATTGACAAGCATAAACATTTTCATACAATATGTGAACATCTTCCAAATTGAACAAAAATCAATTTACAATGTTTTTAATCAAATTTCATTAAAAGATATCTTTTTATAACAGCTTTTGAACAGAATACACTTAGATAGATGAAAAAGTAAATTTCAATATCTTTCCTTTAAAATCTGCACTCAATGTCAATTTGGAAGATTATCTTGGCCTTTTTGTAATCCTAAATCAAATTCTATTTATCCAAGTAATCCCTTTAAAACAGACTTTTAAGTCTTTATTTGTTATCAATCGATCAATAAAAATAGAAACAGTCTATCTTAAGATAAACAATTGCTCATTTCGCTTTCAGATATATAATCTAAGACCTATTACATGTGATGAACAATTTTGATGAAACATTAACTAAACTTGATTGTTTTGATAAGTATAAAGTAAACAAAACATGTCCTTAACTTCATAACACTTCCCTTATATCAGAGAATTAGAGGCTTAAGTTTTCTACCTCAAGAAATTAAAAGTATATTGCGGGTGGCAAGACACAAAACGTTTCATGAAATTCACAATTACCATAAAAGGCCAAGATTCAGTTCACACTAAAAGAATAATAAAAAAAATAATACATAAAACTCTTTGACAGATCAAACTGCTGTTTTCTCAACATTTTAGTACTGTAGGAAATCATGATCTACCAAAATTTGAACAAAATAAGCTGTACACTAACCATTTAATAATTTTCATATAATTCTCAAAAAAAATGTTCTGCAAAACAGCAATTTAGAGACTCATGACAGATTTTTGGGCAAATCATATGTCTATGAACAAAACATCTGGTTAATAAAATATAAAATTATTACTCTTTTATTACAGCAGTATATCAGACTTGTTTTCAATCATGCATTCTTTTTGTTTAATTTAATGAATAATTAATGATTCTCTATTACAATCATTTCCCCAAAGGATTGAAAACCAGATATTTTGTTTTGCCAAAGCAATATTACATTTTTTAATACAAGTATAAATTTACAATGCCTAATTGGATTTTTACAGTTTTTTAAAAAGGGATTTTGTTCTTTCTTTTCTTTTTTTTATATAGAAACTCAACATCTGTAAACTTGATTAAAATAATGAACATCTGAAGATTACTGGTACTTCTATACTGACTAAAATTCAAACTTTCAAAGCAGATGTTGAATCTTTATATAACTACAGTCACATTGAGTGTGTGTGTATGTGTGTTTCTGTATTTATACATAAATTTGCATATATGCTAATAGGACATAGAGCTTGTTCAAGATGAACTTCAATTAACTGGTACGGCACCAAGTCAGGTTTTATGTTGAACATCATAAATAGGCATGACTCGATTCTGAAGAGAATGTTATACTGTATTTTTTTTTTAATTAAATTTTACTAATCAACAGTTTTTTGAAAGCAACCAATCCTTAATAAGAAATTTCCTTTTACTTGAAAATTTAATATATCTTTACAACATCTGAACCAAACATTTGCTCATGGAAATTGCTTTTGGATATGCAGAAATTTGTTTTGGTGTTAAAAAATTATAAAAATATTTACAAAATGAATGTTTTTCAGCGTTAGTAAGAAAAAGATGGTGAAACTTCCAGTTAGAAACCGAAAAAAAACCATCTGTTTGTTTAAGGATACTTAAGCAGTATTTCCAAAGTTACACACAATTATTTTATATCACATCTGCAATTTCCTTGTTTGAGGTCCTAAATGGTGAAAAGGGATATTACAGAGACATTTACAGTACAAAATTCCCTTCTTCATCAGATTTTATATAATTTGCTTAGACTATAGCAATGAGGTGTTCACCTACCTACCACCTATCAAGGAACACCAAATCTTTATCAAAGACCCCTATGGTTTGTAAAGCTATCAAGAATGAATAGTTCATAGTTTAGATTTGCTGTTTTTTGTAAGGGAATTAATATAGTTTTTAAGTATAATTAATAAAATAATATACAAATAAAACAGCATGAAGAAATGCCATATAGTGATTTCAGACCATGTTCTAAATAGCTAACAAACAAACGTAACATAGAACAGAGAGGCAAAACCGAACTTAAAAAGATAATAATAATAGAATACACACTCTGTGATCTGAATAGTACGGAGAGTATATTTGTAGCTACACGTTCCTTGCCAAAATGCAACGATTTAAAACACTGCCCGGGTGATACGATATCAAGAGAGCAACATTTCAACATTTTTAAGATATAAAGAAACAGAAATAAAAAATCCTTTGCATTTTACAGCCAAATTCTTATCTTTTTATTTAACATGGATTATTTTAGCTCTAATGGAAGATTTTTTTCTTTAAACATCAAATTTATACATATTTTTTCCTGAAATTTCCTTTCAGAAAACTTATTACGACTTTTGTTCATTCAATCATTATACCAAAGCATATTTTCTTTCCAAAATCATGGAAGAAAGAATATTGAAATGAATCCTGCAAAGAGAGTTCTAAATATGCAATCATGCAGTTTGGTGCACATTCTGTTGCTAATGAAGAAATTTGACATAAAAAGCATAAAAATTGTGGCTGTTGAAAAATGAAATGGTTTGTAAAGTATCACAAGATTAAACATTAATATAGACGGGCATTTCTTTATACTGAACAATAATTAAATCATTAAGACTTAGCAGTTTGTGTTGTGCTACCACATAATTGGACTATGGACATGCACCTCAATCTTTCGTCCCTCAACCACAGTGCCGTTCATTTTCTCTCGTGCTCTGTCTGCTTCTGCGCTACTTTCGAAAGTTACAAAACCAAATCCCTGCATGCATGAGGAAAATAAGGAGCATGCATTAAATTCGTGCAAAACAACATAATTTATGGCATCAATTAATTATCATAATTTTTTCATAATAATAAAATAAAACATGCATGACTTGAATAATAATCAATAATAGTATCATCTTAATGTATGAAGAACGATCTGTCCTGGGAGGGACATGCTAAATTTCTACAAAGCACTGACATGCCGTCATGCCGCGAAAGCGGACGACACCATTTGATAAAATTTACAATGGACACTTACATATATGACAAACAAACAAATAGTATCATGAAATTTTCTTAATAATAACTAACCAGTTGTGAAATTTATAGCAAGTTCCAATCTATGGTTAAGTAATGCTTGTTCTTGAGTTTCCATAAGATGCATTTATTTATTATACATATTACAGATATCTTATTAATGAATTATAATCCTGTGATTAATTTAAGACTGAAGTCCATACAAATTCAAAGGTCTAAAAGCAAAAATAATGCCCTTCTTTCTACAATACATGCATAACCTAAGTTTTGCTACTTAGAATTTATCCCTTTTTTAAAAGCCGGGGTCATTTTTAACAAGATTTCAGTAATTAGACACGTAAATAATCATTTTGTAGACAATAAATCAATCAGTTATATAAAATAATAGACCAAATCCTACAGTTCTGAAGTATACATGCCAGATTTGTGTTGGCTTGATGAAGATTTCGCTAGACAATTTATTCATAAAGGTCTTTTGTCTACTGGTGTGCATTGATTAAACCCAAGCCAAAATGATTTACTGATAAAATGTAACATCCCAGGATCAAAGGCTAAATATATATTCTCATTCCCTCAAGTTATTTCCATCTTATACAGATAACCAGCAGAAATATATTACAAATATTTTGTTTACAAGAAAAATAATCATAGATTGGAACGCTGCCATAGCTATATCACAACAGGTTGATTAAAGTTATATCAAAGCTGAGGAAACCTTGCCAAAATTTCTAACATCTTCTCTAATTTCTGATAAAATAATCTAAGATTCAAGTTCACTTCCCAAAACATAAGATATGATCAAATGTGCCTTGGATATCTTTCAAATAAGTTCCAAGATATTTTTCAAATGAATTTACCAAAAAAATACAATACTAAGTGATAATAGCTGTACGAATGAAAAAATGAAACATCTTAACACACGATTCATGTCAAATAAGTTGTTTTTCTGAATATGGCAAGTTTTCGCTCAACTCTTTTTGTTTTGCTTCAAGGACTTGTTTTCTAAAATATATATAGTTATACATATATCCAAATTAAAGCATTACATGTTACATAAATGTAGCTATATATCATAAATTTATATATTTTTGTGAGAAAACAATTACCTAGCAAGTCCTTCAGGCAATTTTAACTGTGCATCCTAACAAATCTTAATAATGATCTTAAAAGATATGAAATGAAATGACAGCATATACCTGTTAAAGTACGACAGACCTAAAAGTTTTAATTCTATTTTTATACTCTTTGGGAAAAAAAACAAGAGATTTCATGAGAATTTTTTGTTTGAAGTTTACTGTCTGTCATTTCATTTATATCAAATAACTTAATTGTGTTGAAGATGCATACCAAAAATCAACATTTTGTGGTCATGAATTCAATGTATAATTATTTTTGCAGTTATAAACAAAATTATCACATAGTGTTTAACATTATTTTTTGTATGTGTCTGTTTTTTTACAAGTCTGATGAAGACAACAATTTAAAAGATATATTTGTTTATGGTTTGTACAGCTGTCAAGATGATGTTTTATAAATATTTTAAGATCAGTAGAGCTGAAATGCTATTTTTTTCTTTGGTAAATGTATAAACATTCCAACAAAGACCATGAAAGTGAAAATATCAATCTATTCGTCATAAGTTCAAACTATTTTCTAATTTTTAACTTTTTCCCCCTTGCTTTTTAAAACATTTTTTTGTTAGTAAACTTTTTACCCTTCATAACATCATTCAAATATAGTACCTAAAAACCTCACTTAGTAAGCTAAATCTAGACAATTCTACAATGACGCAGACATACACAGGAAAGCCGGACCATAGGATACGTTTCTGGAGTACGGAGTAAAGAGGCATGCAGTGTTCATGTTTACCTGTCTTCATACACACTGGTCGGAGATTAATGGTCAAATTAAAAGTATCAATATTTCTAGTTTCAACTTTAAGGTATACAAAAATAAGAAAAGAGAAAATGATAAATATATATACATATATATATATTCACTGAATATTGTGCAGGTGTCTTATTCAAGTCTTTTTTGTCAGATTGAGGTATTCTTGACTTTTTTCTTTTTTTTCACATATATGAAAGCATTTTTTCTTTGTTTCTTGACTGCTTCTTTTGTTTTGCTGCACATACATAATTATCTTTATTTCATATCGGTGAAATGAAATATTTGTGTTCTTGACTAGCCATATCCTGTCAACTACAACTGTCTCTACCCTCTTTTTATCACCCCCCCCCCTCTAAATAAATGAAAAAATTTAAAAGGTTCTCTTTAATTGACAGACATTAAGTGGCAGTGAATATAGTAAATATAGCTAGTCTAATACTGTATATATATTTCTTTTTGTATGAGAAACCCTCTCAAAAGAATTTGAATAGAACCCACTACTTTCAGAAAGACTAGTAATTTAGAATGCTTCTGTAAATATCTGCAAAATTTCCGTAATGAGCATTGAAATATCAAATGGATGCTTGATTCCAAATCTTTTCCTGATAATTACATGATTGTGGGTCTATTACAACAATTCTTTTGAAAGGGCAGGAAACATAGATATGCATCTTCAACTAATTCCAATAATGTAATAAAGCATTAACTATATTTGAGATGAATCATCATATTTAAACGTTTTTATGACAATGTTTTATCTTTTCATCATCTTTTTTCTGTTAAAGATCAATTTACAAATAATAAATATCAATTATTGATTTCCATAATGTCAATTTACAAGAGTAACATTTCTATTTGATTCTTTTTCTCTTTTTTAATCAACAAAAAAGATATTACATTTTCTCATATTTTTTCTTTATCTTAAATATTTCAAGTTGAAACAAATATTTATTTCGGAAATTTTTCAAATTTCTATATGATGATTCTTCAATAAAATAATAAATCTTACCTTGGATCCCCTCTCGTTAAATATAATTTCCACGTCTATTATTTTACCAAACTGCTGCAAGGAAGAGAAACAATGTTAAAAGTCAAAACCAACAACATGTATTTTCCATTTAACTACAAGATAATTTGTTTAACTACATTTATTTTACTACCAATGTGATTTTACAGTTTAATTTTTCATTACCAGCATCATATCTGATCCAAGACAGAGGGAAGCAGTTACCCACTGCCTTTAAAGTCCTGCCCTCTCAAGAAAAGAAAAAGCTTTTCATTGCAAAAAACATTATTTAAATACTTGAAAAAGCTTTTAATCAATTTGTTATCTATAAAAATTATCAAATTGTCCCTTTTCAGGCAGTAAAACCTGTGCCATCTGCCCTAGCTAGAACATTTGTTGAAAAAAATAATGCTGAAAATACCAGGACTTCCATTTTTAAAATATGGTAATGTGGTATGATCACTGATTTAAGGGTTGAAGGTAAAAAGGAAGAGAAACCTATCGGACCACTAAAATCAACATGGTTCATGACTATTTCCAGAAAGAGCAAAACATCTCAGTACTCTATACAAGATTTTGAGTACAGTACCAGTCCTGGTAAAGTTCTTGGGGTCAGAGAAAAAATAATTCCTGCATTCAAAAAGCTTTATCATACTTTACACCATAAATCTTGAGGAAATTAATCACAAATGAAAATCAAAAAGATTTCCAATTTATTCAGTCAAGTATCTATTTCTTGTTTTCTTCGAATAGAAAATCTTTATTTAGCAAATGAAAGAACACTGATTGTTAATCAGAAAATATTCCTAATCATGGAGTCTGTAGTATCTCATCAATAAATAATCTGCTATTTGGCCAATACCAAACATTTAATGACATGTGTAGGTAGCGGGTCAACTTTAATGTCAACGTGATGAACACAATAAATGAAAATGGGTCTATGACATGTTGTTGAAATAAACTAAGTTACAGATATTGCAGATATTTTGAACAAAAGTCAAATTTCATGGACTTCCTTTCAAACTAATTATCTCGACAAAGACAAAACTAATAACTTTATGGTACTGATAAGGTTTCGACATGCAACCATACTATCACGACACTTTAATCCATTTTCTATCGATTTTACCAGCAGAAGATGTGATATAATTTAGATAGATCTCCTCCACAATTTTTTTAACCATATAATAATTGTTAGCTTTAGTGACTGAAAATGTTGTGTCCTAAGGGAAAAAATTTAAATGTGAAGAGTGTGTGTTATTATTTACGAGACCTAGGAAAATAATTTACACTCTGTTTTATTTGCCTCTGGCTTATGATGAAATTGTGTTGTAAAAATCAATATCTCAGTAACATCTGCTATTGAGGATTTACAATTATTTCCCCGAGTTACACATTAGGTCTTTCACTTCAACACTGTTGGAGAGAAATAAACACTTTTCTGGTCATAAACGGGCATGCTAATATGGAGATAAATGGTCATTAAAGTAATTACTTCCATTTTTTAAATGCCATCTAAATATATGAAGCTGAAGAATTAAGAAGATCATCTTCAAACATATCAAAGACAGAATTATTATTCAACCAGAAGAACATGTCTTCCATCATTTATATAATTTCTTTGAACCTGTGTTTAACATTTTCATTCAAGATTATATGAGATACACACATATTTTTTTTTGTCCCCATCTGATCAAATTTAGTATGTGTATTTAAAATAAATGGGGAATGTGTCCGTGGGACACAGATGATGCCCTCGCTTGCATATCATATAAAGTTATGAAGTGACGCTACCCAAATTTGTACTTGATCTGAGTTTTATGGTAATAAGTATTGTCTATAAGTTTCATAACATTTGGTTGAGGCAAACTTAAGTAAAAGAATGGAAATGAAAAATTCAGCAATTTTTCCATTTGTAAAGGGGCATAACTCTAGAATGGTTAAAGTGACACCACCAAAATTCAAACTTGATCTGTGTTTTGTGGTGATAAGCATTTTGTATAAGTTTCATAACATTTGGCTGAAGCAAACTAAAGTTAGAGAACGGAAACCAACTTTGGGACGTACGGACAGACAGAAGTACTGACAGACAAGGGTAAAACTTAATGCCCCCTCCGCTAAGGCTGGGGCATAAAAAAAAGGTTTTTCCTAAACACTGGTCTATATTGAATCCAGGGGTGAAGTATTTATCAACTACAGATATTTACCATGCAAGCTCAAATACCAAATGCACACGCATCGATAAAAAGGGTGACTGACCCTTTCCCCCCAAAAAAATGTGTCCCTCATTCCTAACAATCAAACTAATCAAATGTTTTAAGCTATCATTCAAATAAAAGGCTGATATGCAATAATAAATGGAGGTACATCAACGAAACAACAAAGAAATGACAGACAAATACACAGGAGAAAAGACATTATACACTCTAAAACTATGCTTTCTGGTATATAATAGCAGGACTAAATAAGCTTGAAAAATTAACCATCTCAACTGAAGAAATATTTCACTAGAAGCAGTGGTATGATCTATATATAACCTACGGCAGAAAAACAACCCATCAAATTCAGGTCAAATGTTATGATATAGTTCACCTTTACCTTATAAGTCATACTGAGTCAGTCATGGTACACCTAAGTATACTTAGCAACTAAGTGTTCAAGGTTGATGACAGCTGTTATCATAAGTTTGTTAATAAGTGTTTTAGCCTCAAGGTATATAAAATCAACATAAAAACATCATCAAATATATGACCGCTAAAATTCCCTAGTATTATCGTTATAATATCTTTTTTGTACCTACCCCTAATAAACTTTTTAAATCTGCTTCTCTAAATCTAAATGGGATATTTGACACATGGAGACGTTTAGGTCCCTGGCCATTCCCCTGTGATGCTGAAGATGTTGATTGGTTGGCAGAATCTGGTGATAAAGCTTCTCCACTCTCTAAATCTGTTTGCTGTAAAAACAAAATACATTCTTATAAAACAAACAAGAACTGTGACAGTATGTAGCTACTTGAACAAATAAATGACAGCTAGAAACCCTCAAGTGCTTCACTTAGATGTGTTGCCATTTTTTTTAATTAGAACTTAATGTTTTTGTGAAGTTCACAAAAGTCAAGCTTTTTTAATGGGGGATACAAAAACCAGGACCCTTATTGTCTGCAATTTGAAATAAATTCTATTAAAAAAGAGGGCAAGGTCATGTTACTGTTTTTGAGGATTTGATAAGCTACTTTATGGCTCTTTAATATGCAGGATAATGAATTTTGTCTATCAGACTCTTACTTCAAAATATATATTTTTTGTCCTTTAAACATCGTAGCAAATTGCAAGAAATTTCTAATCATCATATATTCTGCTCTACATGAAATTTTTTTCTCTCGAAAACCCTCTGATTTAAGCAAATAATGGAATCAAAGACATAATAAATCACGAATGTTATTTAGAATTAGATTGTCTTCAGGGATAGTTTCAGCTATGAAAATCGATAGAAGAGTCAAAAGATTTATTCTTCAACCTTGAATAAGTTTGCCATTGTGAAAAGTCATTCAAATATATGCTTTTTGGGGAATAATATTGTTTGTTAATCTCAAATTCCAATTATACTGACAGTATAGATATAGAATCTATACAAAACTATACAACGCTATGGCATAGGAATCCTACTTGTTTTTTATTTTTTGCAAATTCAAATTCATTGTTAAGATAAAATTGAAATAAAATGATCCCCACTTGCCATCTCTTGTGCAGAAAAAAAACATCAAACCAGATCATGTGTGAAAGATCAATGTGAACTCTTAACTGTAATTGAAAGGCAAAAAAATTGATGCTGAAGACTTTAATGGGAAAAACAGAATGGTTTTTATTCGTGGAGGATATCATTAGCCATCTTATAAACAAGACATTTAATCAATCAGCTTTTTATAGAATCATTTCTGTTATTGTACAAGAAAGACCTACACTTCCGCAATCAATAGAAAAACAGACAAAAATGACCAGAGACTTCACACTTATCCCATATTACAATATTCATGGTTCATTCAACTGTTTTGACTCTTTCTCTCTGTAATTATCCCATTATCAATACAAGATATGACTATATAGTACACACGGGGTTTCAGCTATTTTCTAGATATGAAACAAAATATTGTTCTGACATGCAAGCATTATTAAGTCATGTACAGTTATGACACACATGGGGAAAAGACAAATTCTAATCGATACCATTATTACTGGAAAATGATTTTAGTGCAAAAAATTTCCTGGGGAATACAGCAATAAACTTAGCACGACGAAAAGAATTAGAATTTAAGCAATACTAGCCAGCCAGCCAAAGCCAATCTGGCTATAATGTATGTTAGAAAGTATCCGCGCACCTACTGGGTCACTTTTTATATTGTGTGGAACTATCTTGTGTGTATGTGCTTACAAATAAAATAATATGTTAAACCTAATTTGCATATCTATATTAGTACAATCTATAGTTAGATCTATTTGTAATACAATATTCTAATTAATACATCTATATATAAATACACTTGGCAAAATATGTAGCATAATCCGTCACCAACATAAAACTGGAGCTAGCGCTAAAATAAAAGTTAAATGCCAAACTCCAACCTTTTAACAAAGATGGGACCTTAAGTGCATAGAGAATTTACAGATTTAAATCAAATTCTAAAAGAAAGTTATAAACATAACCTCCCTCCCTATCAAGAAGTTTGCAAAGGTATTTGTCCGAGTCTAGTGCTTGTAAAAGATTGGAGTGAAATATTATAATTCTGAAAGGCAAGTTTGTGCTGCAAATACTGGTATAATGCAGGATGAAACAAAATTTGAATGCCAGCAATTATTTTTAATTAGTATATCAGAATGTAAATTCCTGTCCAGACAACTTTTTGAACTTGTTATAATAATCAAAATGCAATTTCTGTATTTCTGCATTCTTATTTTGTTTGTTTAATTCTTTTTTTTTATCAAACACAATTTTTAATGTCCTGAGAATCATTTCAAATTGAAATCTTTTTTTTCAAAATCTGTGGCGAAATGCATATATCATGTATATCTGGCATACAAAATATATTTCAGTGTATGAAAGATTGGATAAAAGTTTTTTTTAAATGAACTAGCTATGACTAACAATTTTGGAAATAAGTACAGTTTCAGATGTTTAAATAGGGAAAAATTGTTATTCTGAACTTCTCTTTGAGCAATTTCAAATAATTTTATGTTATAATCAGCCATTTTATCCAATCTCCCTGAATAATTTGGAAGTTAATATGGAATTAAACAATGAAAAATTTCCCTCAATCTCTGACTTTACCACCACAGCTTCAAATGACAGATAATCTATACGGAATACAAATGTTTCCAATTAGGGATAAAATCAGTTAGATCTCTCAACCTTAGAAATAGTGACTTTTATAATTGTCTGCCTATATTTCATTTGATGAAATGGTAAACTCAGAGATAGTAGTTCAATTAATAATAAAATTAGATCATGCAATTATGATTTGATGAGTGATGATAAAACCTGTCCAATTCCAAGCTGCATTTCTTCATAGTGAGATGTTGGCATCAATATATTCAACGGCTGCCCCTAAAATATGATAGACAAACAAGCATGGTTAGGGTACATCTTGTGAACCAATGGTGTTGATAAAAATAAATGTACAAAAATGCAATATTCATATTTTTATTTTAAATGAGGAAAAAGACTTCCAAAGTGTTCCATAAGACACTGACAACTTAAAGAGGGTTAAGTCGAACTAGAGTCAAGCTCAGCAGGTCTTCTTTCCCCGCTGATTCTGTCAAGCCCATTCCCCTGGCTGTTGTTTTTCTTTCAAGACTGATGTATGTTGTATGTTTCTAATGTTTAAGACCAGCCATTGACTTTAAAGAGCAGACAATTGATGATTTTTTTCTGAAGAATTCATAGGCAATGGAACTGGGGTATAAAAATGAAGTAGTAAATTGTCCTGATATAAAAGTTCAACCCAACAAAATTTGTTCAACATAAATTTTCATTTAAAAGTTGAACGGTCAACGATCGTGAAAAACTGGTAAAATTTACTGTTCTCCCTGTTTGAATAAAAACTTTTTATTTAAAACATGTATAAATAAAAGGAAACTTTGCAGACAAAATAGCTGTACCTAGTATTATCCCAGGAAAATATCTTCCAAATTCTTGCTTTGTATGCAAGGGAAATGCAAGTTGTAATATTAATTTGACATGAAAAGATTAACCAATCATGATTCTGTATAAATTAATATTAATTTCATATCCTTATTTAACTGTTTATCATATCTTACTACACTATAAAATTGAAATGTATTCATTATTCACATAACTATATTGAAAACTCAAATGCACTTCAGCAAATCCTAATTTTCAGAGGTAATGAAATTACTAATTAAAAGAAATAATGAAATATTTGAAGTTTAAACCCATTTAAATGGATGAATGCATAAATGTTTGCATCTAACTTTGAATTATTGATTGAAATGTTAAAAACATTTTTCGAACAAAGAACTTTTTTGAATTTCTTGCACTGCACACGATTGCATTACCACTTAATGCTTGCTAATGAATCCTGCACTAAAAGCTACATCACAAGACTTCCTCTGGCCACTTGAGATTTTCCTGGTACACATGATACAAAATCATTGACTAAGCTTCTTAACACAAACAGATGGGTGAAAGACAAAAAAGATCAAGTGTTAAATGACTCATAGGTTTTATAAAAGGTTTCTTTTTTGTGTTAGATGATGGATTGTAATGAGACTATGGGAAAGACGGGTGAAGGTTATTTTCCATAAATGGACTCAGCTGTCAGTCTGATTAGCAAGTCCACACACAACAAACAAAACATTCTTTTTTTAGTATGATCACTCACATAATTGACAATCTGTATCAATTCAACATTCACTTTTGAAAAGATTTGACTACTTTTTTCTTTCTTCAAAAGTTAAAATCGTTCATTACCAAAAATTTGGTGTACTTTTAATCAAAAAGGCTCTAACAATTCCTCTTTTCATCTTACTTAAGCAGGAGATATCTCCCTCCATTTCTATAAAGGATGATCAAATTTAATATTTTCTATGAATGAAAATTTTCTGTTTTCAAGTAAAATTCTTTAAACAATCCTTTATTACAGCAAATACATGCTGAGAAGGGTATAACTCTAAGTATTGGTAGATCATCTAAATAAGATGAAAAGAGGGAAAAGACAATTAAAAGAATCATACAGTTTGTAATTACTTATTAACATAAATGTGCTAATCTTGGAAGCATGAAGTCATTTATAGACTTTGTATTTCCAAATCAATGCAAATCAAATTTTAAATTGTTGCATATTACTAATAATTTTTTTCAAAAATCAATTTCTAAAAGAGCCATTCCAAACACACTAAAATTAAAGCCAAAATGCATAGCCTGGTATGAAATTAAAACAAGTTTTAATACCAATTAATGCCAGCATGTTGACATTAAATCTTAGGTCAATCAACACCATTGTCAATTTATGTATTTCAGTTTGTTATATTTTGGCACTGATGACACATGATCAAATTTTCCAGGTGAACCAGTCCATGTGACAGTTATGTACATTTAATGCAAAAATTTAATTTCCAAAATGTTTTTCAAATATAGTTTTTGAAATATATTTTATACACCTTTGGAAAACTTGACCATGAAAGCCTTTTCTGTGTTAACTGCAAAACTTCTCCTAGTTATAATATAATAAACATGCAAAAACCTATGTGCTTTTGGGTTAAGTTGCTGCTACCATCACCGCAAATCTTCAGCACTCTTCATGCTAAGAAAATTAAGTAAAGAACGTACATTTATCGACCTGGCTCTTACCGTCTGCTGTTCAATCCCACCATTGGGAGTGACGGCAGTCGTGGTAAATGTTGATTGTTCTGTTTTTAAAGGTGATGTGCCTTCTGATGAAGCAACTGGCATGGTACCCTGACTAACGACTACTTGGGTATAATCCTGTAAACCTGCTTCTGTCAGACCAGGTTGTGTTAAACCTGCCTGGGCAAGACCAGCTTGGGCAAGTCCAGCTTGGGTAAGTCCGGCTTGAGCTACATGTAGGCCAGCTTGGGTTAGGCCAGCTTGTGTTAGGCCAGCTTGTGTTAGTCCAGCTTGTGTTAAACCAGCTTGGGCAAGGCTTACTTGCGTAAGCCCTGGTTGAGCAGCAAACTGGTATGTTGGTGGCATTTGACCCTGCACCATGTGCTGCAAAGAGAAAAATTAGAGATTATATTAAAATGGAAGTTACCATGGTTTTAAAAGTTTTAACCTTTTCGTCTAAAAAATTAGGATTAGAAAAATAAAGAGCTATTTATAACAACAAAAATATCTTCAATTTTGAATTATGTCAACGTACTTACATGTATAACTAAATATTTCTTCACATTAAAACTTAATAGAATATAAAATGTTGTCCTATCTTTCACACTTTAATATAGATAAGACTTCAAATGTAGTGTATTTAATGACGGTTTCCTGTTTTCCCTAGTTCATATAAAACACACTTCCTGAACAGGATAAGCTAAAACAAAATCCACTACATATATAAACACACACTTCCTATGTATACACAGATATAATATTCAAACAAAATTACCCACAGGCAACCTAAATACAAATATATATATTTACCATCATGGTGAGCGGAGAATATGCACAATTCATATGTAAATAGTCAAAGTCACAGTTGTCACAAAAACTGTTTCACAACACAATCATCTATTGTCAAAATCTACTGTTTTTGTTTTGTTTATAAACAATTTGCCAATTGCACTAGTGATATAAGATTTCTGCTGGAAGCCCTCATTCACAGAATATATTCATTACAAAATTATCATTTACAAAGCTACAAAATAGCTACCATTTGATAGCTGCCCAGCTCAATATTATCCAGATATCATAACTTTGCTAATATGAACACTCCCTGAAGATTATACAGAATTAGACACATTTTCCATCAGAATTCCCTATACCTAGTAGTAAAGGTCAGTTTATGAGGCTGATCAAGGCTTTTCCAATTTCAATAATTGCATACTCATAACTCTTGGGTTTTGGATGATATAAATTGCCAACTTGGCCATTTTTGACCTTTTCATTATGTTGTGACAAAGAGAAATGGACTTTTAATGAATATTGACATTTTTTTTTTTATCTGCATTTCAATTAGACATAAGGTTGCATCATTTAAGTTCTTAATTTGTTTAATTACCTATTTCTGTTTTTACATTTACAATTATTTAGGACAAGATGATACACAATGGATCATTATCTAGTTACTTTATCAGGTTTCATTCTAATATGGCTTTCCCAGATACTTCAATAATACATTCAAGTATTAGAAATTCCCAGGGCATTTTGTACATTATAGCTAGGAACAGAATCAAATTAGGTTTCAATATTTATGAACAATGCTTCCAGTTCAATGTGACAGAACATCTGTTAAGACAATTTGTAATACATTGTACATACAACAGATGCCCTTGTTTCTCAAAAAGGAGACACATCAACATACATTTCTAAATTTTGAGCAATGCTTTGTATCGCAAACTTCAATTGTTTTCTTTTTAAGTTATGTCCTACTTTTGGAAAGTAGTATTCTTTTATTTTTACATTTTATAAGTATCTGATAATATATGATATAATACTCTCATGTACACCTTATCAGTTATGTAAATTAATTCACAGATAATTATATATACAGGAAACATCTGTTGTACATTATAGTGTATTTAATGAGCTATCTTTTTATTAGGTTTTTTTTTATTAAAAAAAATATACAATATATTTCTGATCTGTTCTATTCCTCCGTGGAAAATAGTATGTTATTCAATTGATTATCTTGTAACTTTGTACAGAAAATGACTACAAATACCAAACTGAAAAAGAAGCAAATTTAAGATTTTTTTTGGTTTTAAGCCTAAAATATGGGCATCTTGTTTTGTATTACAATATAATAATTTTATTTGCAAAATACACCCATATGGGTCAAGCAAACACAAATACAAACAGGAAGGGGGGAGATATCAAGACATTTAATCACTCTTGTTATAAGGGAACAAAATAAAATAAACATGTAAATTGGGGAACATTTGAGAATCAGAATATTTTTTTCATTCATTCATATACATTTATATTTCATATCATACATATACAAAGGTGAGATGAAATCAAGTTTTTGATAGGCCAAGGAGTCAAAAAATGAAAATGCAAACCCCCTCGAGTCCCTCCTATATCTGGCCTGACTAGACAATTACACAAAGGGAAATGATTTTATGGCTTTTAGTCATTGATTTACATATATACCTTATTGGTTATATTAAGATCATAAATCTTTGATTTGTGTGTGACATAAGTGTGTAATTAACTAATTGTATTGATCTGTATAGATTGGTTTGTTTTTATCACTTTTGTCCAAGGAAATATTTACTTAATAACAGGATCAATTAGGTTATATTTTGTTTGACACAGTTTATATACAAAAGCTGTGATAAATAAATAATGAACTTGAAGATTAAGAAAATTGACAGATTATCAAACAACATTAATAGTCTATGAAAATAATTTCTTAAAAATTAACAAGTAAAAAAATATTAAGATTCTTATTCATCTGATGTGCCCTACTAAAACAAATAAACACTTCAATCATTAAAATAATTACAGAAGATAAATAATTGACCAAATGTTGCCTATAAACTAAGCATGGCAGCTGTTCGCAATTTCAAGAACAAACTTCCCTATTCTGCCATGATACATGTATCTGGAAAGTCACATACTTTCTGAAAAATCAAGCATCTACAGGGAAATGCTATGTTCATGAGAAGAAAAATGTTAAGTGACTCAAGTCCATTTCTTCCACAACAGGCATCAGTTTTTTATAATTGTTCTTAAACCTTTCTTCTAAAAAATCTGGGGTTTTAAGGTACAATGATAATATATAATAAAAAGATTGTACTCTTTAATTCTTTACTTAATAGTAAATACAGATATATTATAATTGACCAACATTAAAAAAAAACAATTCTTACATTTTCCCAAAGACTAAAATATTAAAAGTGAAATCTGTTAATGAAAATTAAACTATTTTCTACTTTAATTGAAAATCCCTTTAGATCATTTTAGTTATTTAAGGAGGTCAACAAAACATAAAATAATGGAGTCTGAATGGAGGAATGTTCCTATTTGAATTTTCTACCAAAAAAATTACAACAGATAATGAAGTACATCAATTACGCATTTAAATTACAACAATGTCTGATAGATTACTAAGTTCGATGACAATTAAACTAACAATCATCAATCAAAAGACACAAACCTGTTTAATGTGAATTGGATTGGAAATCAATGCTGTACTTCCTAAAACCATTTTAATGTTTGTCTTCAAACTATCTGCTAAAATTTCTGTTTTTCTCCCAGTTTTAAGAAATCACTGTAAAGATGCTGAATATTGACCAATCAAAATCTTTACAAACTGATTGCTGCTGACCAGAAAAGAACTGATGAAAGTCAATAAATAAAGATGACATGAACTTCCTCTCCTAAATTCATAATCCACAGATATAAACAAAAACATTCACACCCCAGGGGGTTCTAATAAACAATGTCAATAAACACACTCCCAACAGTTCAACTCATCAGCAATTGCCTGACACAGTTACATATGAAAATCAAACAGATTTGACAGGAAGGCTTTGCCCCTTAATAAATAATGTATACACATCAACTACATGTGACAGCACTCAATATACACAAACATACACAGATTTTTCACACCCTATATTACACTTTACCACTTTATACAAATAATGTTTTGTTCATTTTACTAAAAATCTATTTTTGTTACTTGTCATCAGCACTTAATCTAATGGGAGTATGTTTCCATGGAAATGAAATCTCTGTTGAATAAAATTTAGAGCAGCTTAATAATGGAAATTTATTGATAATATGATGATATAAAAATTAAAATACAACATAAATATGTATCTGATTAAATTATAGCTTTGTGACTTAATTATGCATGAAGATTGTGACTAAATTTTTGTTTGTTTGATGAAAATGCAAACATTCTGCCTTAAGCTGACTGCTTATCGGGATTTGTACAAAAATAAGGAAGTCACTAACCACTTATTTACTTTGTACCTAGATGTGTTATATCAATGCAAGACACAAGCTTTTTATGCTTGAAGCTAGTCCTACTAATCATATTTATCATAAAAATATAATACTTTAACATATTTGGTCCATTATTTACCAGCATATCATGTATAAGACATTTAAGATTCTTTTTCTTTTCTTTTTCTCAAATAAACTCATACCCATTTTTGGAAGGTAAAAGCAAATTTTTAAGAAACAGTGTAATTTAAAAGAAAACTATAGATTCAGAAATTATTGGGAGGTTTTTATTCATGCAAATAATGCAACTCTGGGAGTATCAAAATAATAACTTTCATTCTGATAACTGATACTAAATGTATCTGTATGCAGATTTTCCTGAATTTGCAAGAATTAATCTCTCATTTTTGTCTTTTCTGCATAATTCAGTCATACCAGTATATACATGTATATCATGTACATGTGGTACACAAAACAGTATGTAGATGATACATGTTCTGTTTATTCCAACTAAATCTGTCATAGACTACAGAGATATTTCCTACACCTAATCTTTACATGTCACTTTTACTTATTTACTACACTGAAACTTCTTTCAGTTACATAAATCATTATGGGATATACACCCAATTAAAAAGTCAAAATCATATTCAAGTTGTTGACAGTCAATGAAAAAGGCTCTTCCTGAGACATAAATACAACTGAAGTCTTCAGCTGAAATTTTATGTAATATAAATAATGAAAAACCTCTTTCTTGGACATAAATTCTACAAAAGTCTTAAACTAGCAAGTTAGACAGCCTCAATCAAAACTATACACAACTTAACTTTTAACTTTTGTGCTTTTCTTTTTGGAATACTTTTAGGCTGACACTGTAACTGACAAAGAAACTTGTGTTTTTCTATCTTCAGAACAATTTTCTGAACATTTATGAATTTGACAGTAAAGAAATAGCCCTTTATGAACATGTATTTCAGACCTACATGCCTAATCTATTCATTTGAATAGCAAATTGAAGCTTTGGTGAACAGTAATTTCAGTGAAATGACTATAATCATCCCATTAGCTCTACCATTTGATGCAGGGAGTAATAAATG